ATCTATCTATCTATCTATCCATCCATCTATCTAATCTATCATCCCCCTTTCTTATCTTCCCTTCTTTGGGAACATGCCTGCACATAGAAAATTAATAACAAAATAGAATTTACTTCTGGACATGCCACTTCATAGACACATTTTCCTCGCTGGCACCCTTGCTGCTAATATCACTGCCATCACATCACCATCATCACAACCACCATCTTCACCATCAGTGGCACCACCAGGGACATCATTGCTTCTATTATCACCATCATCACCACCACCAGTGTTTCACATTGCCCCCGCCATCACCACCTCCATCCCTGCTCCTCCACTCTCATCACCGCCACCATGCCAGACCAGGCCCCTGGCTCCGTCTTGCGGCACTTCTTTGTTTGCGGAGAAACCTGGCTGCTCACACGCATTAGCTGTGCACCTGGCACTCTTTGACCGGGTCAGTGTCACCCGCACATTGTTCCAGACGCGCTGACTGCTCTCCCTGGAGCAGGCAGACAGGCCTGGTGTGATCTGAGGTGGTGGTTTTGACAAGGATGTGGAAGACTGCTTTGAACATGGGGAGGGTCGGGTGGGGAGGAAGAGCAGGACTGGTTAGGATTTGCACTCCGCATGCTCCCCAGTGTGCTCCGTGTGCTCCTGTCTGCCAGCTGGCTCGCTGCCCCCTCCCCACTCCTGCTGGCTGGCTCCTGGCCCAGGGCGCAGCTTCTGCAGGCGGTTCTCCTCCTAACCTGCTCCAGCCTGGGGTCAAGCATCCCTGGGTCCCCCTTCATCATCTTCCTCCACGATGGTTTCAACGAGGGGGGTTTGGAGAGAGGCCAGCTGAGAGCGGGAAGGGAGAGTCCTAGGAGATGCAGATTTGAGTGCTTTGTGCATGTCGCCAGGAGAGTCAAGTCCCTGGAAAAGGGCAGCATGTTTGGCAAAGTAGGGGTCAGCAGAAAAGAGGAAGGCCCGCCAGGAGACGGACTGCCCGGAGGTTGCAGCCGTGGGTCCAGACAGCCACATTGGGAGGACGGCGCAGGACCGGGCAGTGTTTCCTGCCGTGGTGCACGGGGCCTCTCTGAGTGGGATCTGACTGGAGCCCCTAACACCACCCTGGAGGAGGCGTGGCCATTTCTGAGGCTGCTGGGTTGGGCCAAGCAGAGCATCAAGGGGGCCTGAGCAAGGCTGGGCCCAGGGTGGGTCGGGTGGGGGTCCTCTCACGGCCCCTTGTTGCCTGACATGGTAAACCACTGGTCTGTTGTCTGCTGTGTGACCGAAGTCCGCTCACGAGAAACCCATGGACACAGCGTGGAGCTGCCCCACAGGGCTTCCTGGGCGGTCATCTTTACAAGGATGGATTTCATGGCCTCCCTCCCATGAGGCCTCAGGTGAGTTTGACTACAGGCTCCCCAGCAGCAGGGCTCACCGGGTGCTGGTGCTGATCCAGGTCAGAGGCTCCTGCCTGCATCTCTGTTGCCGGGTGGGGCTGGGCCCCGTGGGGCTCCATCAGGACTCACTCAGAGATGCAGCCAGGTCAGGGCCCCGCTGCTTCCTGCAAGGCGCGTTCAACGCCCCCAGCCGCTCCAGGGGAGAAGGTTAAGGCTCTTTACTCCCCTGAAGACTGAGCCTCAGAAACCCCCACGGGCCCCATAGGAGGCAGAATCCGCCTGTGGTAGTGGGCTTGCTTTAAGGAGTGGATACTCTGGGGGAGTCGTGAGTTCACTTCGGCCTCACCCCCCAGGTTCTCCGGGAGAAAGATGGGGCTTTCTGTTACAATACACAGTTACAGCCTCGGACCGCCCGGCAGTTGCCGTGACTCAGCTTTGGCTGGACGGCACTGAGTTCACAAGCACATGGTACCTGTGAGGCCCTGCTGTGCACACCTGTACTCACAGGACCCCACTCCGCGAGGAGCACACTACGACCACCCCTGTTTTACAGCTGGGGGAGAATGCCCGAGAAGATGAAGTGGCCTGCCCTGAGTCCCATCGCCAGCATGTGGCAGAGTTAGGGTGTGAACCGTCCTGGCCCCAGTAGCCCTGCCTTGACCTCTCTCAGGGGTCACTCTGTACCAGGAGTTGACTCCCCGGCCCACAAGGACGAGAAAGAAAAGACTTGATGCAGCGTGGATAGCATATTGTCTTTTAATTGATCTAAGGGAAACAGTTAAATTCAGAGTTTAGAAATAGAAAAGATTATCAAATAAATTCAGGGTCAGAGCTAGTTCAGCAATGCTGACGGGTAGCCGGCTTGCCTTGGGTGGCCCCGGGCGTCTGCCTGGATGTCAGCAGTTTAAATAAAGGGCGTGCCTCCTAAAACTCTTCATGAGGATTCACAAACATCTTTTTACAGGGCATGTGGTGGAGGGGCTTTGGGGAAGGCAGACAGAAGGGGTGTTGTAGAGAGCTGGCCTCTCCGCTCCGGTCTGGGTGGCAACTGGCCTCACATGACCTGGCCCTGTCTAGTGACTCCCCCCTGGGAACGTCCCCATGCCCTGCGGCATCCTGTGAGGAGGTGGGTGCCCAAGAGACTGGGCCCAGCTGATGTCCCTGTTCCCTGCGGAAGGAGTGTGGCATCTGCTCACCAGTCTGCCTTTCAGATGGCTTGGGTGGACCCACAGCAGGCAGTGGCCAGGGCCAGGGCTGGCAGGGCAGACAAGCGGCCTCTGCTATGGATGGCACCAGGACCAGGCTTCCTTCTGGAGACACAGGGCCCCTGCCAGTTGTCACTGGATGGCAGGGAGGGCTCTTCTGCACTTCCTGCGTGATTCACCCAAGCCACAGGCACGGGCCAAACCGGAGTGTGCCCACACACGCCAGTGCAGTTAGCCTCTGCCTGATGGCTGGTCCCCTTAGTGGTTGGGGAGCTGCAGGACACTCTCATGGAAGGCGAGTGGGCTGGGCCTGCTCCCTGGTCACACTGAGTGTCAAGCCGCGAACATCAAGGGGCCAGGGTGGGGGCAGCAAGTAACAGAGACTGCTGGCTGGACTCCACACCTAGTCCGGGCCAAGGTGGGAGGCGGGCGGAGGACTGGGGCTGCAGAGCCCTCTGGCTAGGCCCTGCCCAAATGCACGCCCAGGACACCCACCGTCATGGGGGACAGAGGTGACAGCAGGGCACGTCCAGTCAGCGAGGGGGCCACCAGCTGCGTCTCACGGGCCCGACAGCGTGAAGGTACAGTTTGAGTACAAAGTGCAAGCACTCTTGTGTTTGTGGTTTTGCTGGGTTTAATTTCTCTTTGGTGAGGGCAGCTCCCCATGTCTAAGAGCGGCAGAGGGCGATGAGCTTCTCATCCCTGCTTCCTTGGCTGAAAAAGAGAGGGAAGGGGGGACAGACAGACATTTCTGTTAGGGAGCTGGCACCGCTCAGCTGTGAAGACCAGGGTGCTCCTTCTAGGAACCACACGGAGCCCCAAGAGGGCCCGGTCAGAGCCAGCGAGCACCAGAGAGGAGGGCGAGCCTGGAGCAGGTGTCTACACAGGGGTCAGACTGGGAGGCCCTGGCTCTTTCCTCCCTGGAAACAGTTGGAAATCCCAGGAAAAGTGAGCACAGAATATTCCAGCATTGCTCCACAGGACCCGCCATCACCTTCCACTGAGCCCACAAATCACACATCCTATACAAATGCACACTTCCGAGGGGGTCAGGCCAGGGCCCCCCTTATTCCTGAGCCTCTCCAGTGGCCGCTCTACAAAGCCAGGCACCATCACAGGTGTGTTTTCTCCCATGGGGTTCAAAGCTGTCTCCTGGAGGGGCAGAGGTGGGCCAGGGACCGACCTCTGGCCGGTCCAGTCTCTCAAGGCCTGCGAGGGCCGGACAGTGAATCAGGCGGAGACAAGGAGATTCAGTGTCCTCGAGGCTGGTGAGGAAGACTGAAGGTGTCCTTCCCCGCCCCCGCCGCCTCTTGCAACCCCCAAACCAACCTCCCGGCTATCAAATCTATGCGGCCTCACAGCAAGCCCACTGGACAGTCGGCCTCCCCTGTGGGCTCCCAGGGGTCACTCCTCACGGCAGGGGACAGGAGCAAGGTGGTGGCTCTGCTTTATCCCTGCACGAGCAAGCTGACCCTTGGGCAGGACGCCCTGGGAGGCTACGGCTGGCCCGCATTTGGGATTTCCCTGGAACCTTGCTCTGCAAGGCACGGTCCTGACCAGCCTGGCCATGCAGGCGTCCCAGGGAGCACTGAGCAGCCAGCTGTGTTGTGAATGGAGTTTAATTAAGATCGAGTGTGCCACTCATTACCGTTCCCTAATTAAAACCATGCTTCGACGGCACTTGGCGCTCGGCTGGGGCTAATTGTTCTCAGATCTGCTGGACTGCGAAGAGCAAGGGATTTGTGGTGGGATTACAGTCCTGTACACCCTCCAAGTGTGCCCGGGGAAGACCCACACCACACGCCCTCTTCACACCAGCCTTCAGGGCACCGTGGAGGTCATAGGGGTCTCCTGTCAGTCCATCCACAAACGCGGGGCTGGCCCCCAGTGTCCTATCAGCCCCACCACAACCGAATCCCGGGGCTGGGCACTGTGGGCACAGACCCCGGGCGAGGCACACACAGATGGAGAGGGTAGTCGGGGCATGGGCCCTGTCCTTTTACCCGCTCCCCCCCACATCCCTGGTCCTACCAGCTTTGAGCAATGTGCAGGCCGCAGAAGCACAGGACTGGGGCATTTCCTTAGAAGGCGGCAACAGGCCCTGACCCACCAGCCTGAACCGTGGACTCTCTGGCCCCGGCACAGACGCTTCTGGCAAGCCGGCTGCCCTCCCAGCTGCCCCTCAGTCCCTCTCTTCTTGGAAGGCCTCCTACACCCCAAGCCCATGCTTACCCAAGGGCCCTTGCCTGCAATTAAACCAGCAAACTGTCCACGAGGAACACTCACCTGTCTATTGGCAGTCTCAGCATTTCCTCCTCTGGGTGCTGGGTGGAGGGAGGGAGAGAGATGACAGAGAGGTTAGGTGGGGGGGTGGAGGGAGGGAGAGGGGTGTTAGTGAAAACCAAGAGTCGACTCCCGTGGAAGGTACAGCGCCATCTCAGGGAGGGTCCCGGGCCGTGCCGGTTGTGATTTGAGTAACTGTTCACAGGGTGAATTGGTTTCCATTCAACACCAGAGGCCCCTGTGGCTGGTGACGCCGACTGCTGTCCCCAGAGGGTGACACTCTCTTTCCACTTCCCACCTGTGTCCTTGAGCTGGACCCCTGGGCAGAAGCTGCCCCTCTGGTCTTGTCTGATCAGGGCGGCAGACCACTCTGGGCTTACTGTCCACCTCACAAACCAGGACGCTGAACCCCCAGGGTGGGTTAGGGCAACAAGGGCCAAGGTTGTAGGCTTCCCCTGGTCTCTGGCAGACCAGTGAGCCTGGTCTTTAGGACGACTGAGGGCTCTGGCCCCCACTTTCCCTGCCACTCTGCCCTGGACCTCAGAGAGAGGCACCAGCCAGCACCCTCCTCTCCCGAGGAAGGCACTTCCACTTGGAGTGGAGAAGGACAGAGGGGCCATCGAGGGACGATGGCTTTTCACTGCCCAGCCCAGTCCTGCTGTAGAAGGACTCGTCTTCTTCACAAACTCCCCGCTGACTGCAGAGAAAGGTCCCCTGAGAAGGTTGCCCCAGGGGGTCCAGGATGGGAGCCCTAAGATGGCCACCAGCCCGGGATCGCTGAGCTTCTCAGTGTCCACTGCGGCCACGAGGCGTGACTCTGCAGCCTCGCCCTGGTGTCGCATTGGTTAGAGCGCTCGGCCGAGAGCCAGTTGGAACTCAGCTGCTGCTCAGTTCCTACCCAGCCTGGAAGACTCAAGGGGCTGTTCCACCCAACCCTACGGGTCTCGGCGGGCCGCTCCAGCTCAGCGCGGCGGTGCAGACGGCAGGGACTGCCCGGCACGCCCAGCGCCACAGCCGTGTTGGAGTCCTTGTGAGCAGCCGGTTTGTCGATCCGCCTCTTTGAGGGTCTTCCTCCTTTCAGTGCCCACCTGCTTTACAGAGCACGACGTCCCTTTCCATCTCCTGATAGCATGTCCATAGTACATGAGACCACGTCTCACCATCCTTGCTTCCAAGGGGGCTCTGGCTGCACTGCTTCCAAGACCCCTCTGCTGGCTCTTCCGGCAGCCGTGGTACTTTCAATACTCTTCTCCAGCGACACGAGTCAAACGCAGCGACTCTTCTGAAGTCCTCCTTATTCAGTGTCCAACTCCCACATGCAGACGAGGCAACTGAAGAGACCTTGGTCTGGGTCAGGGGCACCTTTGTCCTCCACGTCCCTGACGTTGCTCTTCAGCACTTTACCGAGGTCGTTGGAAGCAGATTGCTCAAGGTGAGACATCGCTTAACTTCCTGGTGCGACTTTTCTGAGTGCGGACTGTGGATCACAGTAAAACGCGACCCCGGACAACGTCAAATTTTCTCTGCTTATGACGATGTTGACTACTGGTCTTCTGTACACTGGATTATAATCAATTCCGAAGGCTGCAATTCTAGATCTTCAGCAGCAAGCGCCCACAGCCTCCTCGCGTTCAGCAAGCAAGGTTGTGCCATCTGCACAGCGCAGGTTGCTAATAAGCTTCCTCCGATCCTGATGCTGCATCCTTTTTCTTAGAGCCCAGCCTCTGGTGCTGTCCCCAGCGGGCAGACTTCTCCACACTCCATGAAGTGGTGCGTCCTATTAGGCATACAGCCGGAGCAATGAACGGGCGTTCTGGAAGTCAGGGGACAGGAAACGGTGACCTGGGGATGGACCTTGGCCCCGAGCCTCCAGTGGATGACTTGGCACAGGCAGACTGCCAGTCCTGTTTCTGAGCACCTCTGCAGGGACCCAAAGTGCCGGCCTTCCAGCCAGCAGCGGGGCGCAATCTGCCCCGGCACCACCTTATCAGCCACTGCCGGGGAGTGGATTCTGAATCCTGGCCATCCTGCGGGAGGAGGTGGGGGCGTTCCCTGGAGGCCCTGGAATGGCAAGGCTTTACGGGAGCAGACAGCCTCTCTCTGTCTCCAAAGGAGTGACCAGTGGGTGTGAATGGCACACGTTCAGGTTCACAGCCAGGCACTTAACCCACGGTGCCCCCAGGGCCCCTTGTGCAGTGCCCAGGGGTTGAAGAATAAATTCTGAGCTAGGGCTCCTGACCTGCTGGCCTCCTGACTTGGTGTGGAGCCCAAGGACAAGGCCAGCCCTGGGGACATCCGACAGCCAACATGTCAGGGGCCTCAGGAGACAAAGGGCTGAGCTTCACACCCAACTCTGTCCACCCTGGGGATGGTCCCCTTCTGATCACCTGCCGACCCCTCTATCGAGGGGGCACCCCCATAGACAGCTCCTGTTCGACCACGAGGACCACGTGGGCATCTCAGGGGCTCTTACTGTGACGCTTCCTGGTGTTTCCCTTGGCGTCCTCCTTGGTCACCCCCAGGCAGCCCATTAGCTCCTGGACCGAGAGGGACTTGTTGTTGTTGGCGTCGCAGTACTCCACAAACCGCTTCACGCACTTCTTGGGCTTCGATTTCTTCCGGAGCAGCCGCTTGAAGGGTTTGATCTCCTTTTTGCCGAGGTCGCCGCTGGCGTTCTTGTCCAGCAGTTTGAAGTACCAGTGGACCACTCTCTCCTCCAGCGTGTGGCTGGGGTCCGGCTCAGAAAGCCTGCAGGAGAACACAGACTCGTGAGGAAGCAGGTCCCAGGGGCCCGGACCTGTCCTGCCCCGGTCCCCTGCCAGGGATGCCCCTGCTCCACCCGCTCACCCACCCCCCATGCCTCTGCCTCCGAGGGAGAGCCCTGTGTGTATGGGGGTGGTGGGGGGCGTGCCCAGCAAGCAGGTTCATCGCTCATTCCCCTGAGACATCACCAGAGAGAGTGATTCCGGAAACCTTCTTCACGTTGGTTTGCAAACCAGCAAGGACACCGTGTCTTTCTCCTTCCGAGGACACGTGTGGTTTAGTCACGCTTTTCCACACACACGCTCCCCGTTGGACTCTGTGCTCCCAGAGGCTGGGTCGTGCCGGCTGGGGACACCCACAACCCACCTTCAGACACCCTGAGGGTGCAGGCCTAGTGGAAAGCGTCCCCTAAACCTGCTTTTCTCTTCTACACAGGTGACGTGCACCTTCGACATCCCTTCAACAGAGAGGAGCTGTCCCGCAGGGAGGCATCTCCATGGGCAGAGAGGAGCCGGCTACGTCAAGTTCATGTAGCCGGATCCGACTGGTCTACCCCACGCCCCACAGGACCAAACCCGCTGGTCCGGCACCATCCTCACCATGGCTCCTGTGCCCGAGCCTGTGGTCACAGCCCCTGTGTCCTTGTTGAGGACCAGCCTCTTTCTCACTGCCCCTCCACTTTCCCAAGCGTGACGTCCTTCGCCAGGGCCGGTCTCTCGAGACAACAACGTGTCCCAAGCACACGAGACCACATCTCACCGCCCTCGCCTCCCAGGGCCAGCCAGGTTGTACTTTCCTCCAAGAGAGATCTGCCTGCGCAAAGTTGGTGGCCCGTGGAACATTCCAGATCCTTTGCCAGGGCCAGGATTTGAGCACATCAGTTCTCCGACGGCCTTCCTTATCGGCCGTCCGCCCTCCCATGCATAGGAGGTGACTGCAAACACCAGGCGACTGTCAACACTTTCAAGGGGCCTTGCGCAGCAGATGTGCCCAATGGCTGCTCCCAGGAGCACTGGTTGTGGATCCGAGCAAAACAACATCTTCACCACCTCGCCTGGTTCCCCATGGACCAGGGCGCTACCTATCGGCCAACTTGTGAGGAACTTGGCGTTCTTGACGCTGGAGGCTGCCATCTTTGGTCTCCATTGGCGAGTGCTCCGCCTCCTCCCGGCTCTCAGCGAGCCAGGGGGTGGGGTCTGCAGACCCCAAGATCGTCACGGAGCAGCACCTCGCCCTTCAAGCAGCACCTCGCACTTTTCGTCCTACAATTCAGCTGCTCTCACCGTGTGCTCAGCGCGCAGAGCAAGTACGTCTGGTGCGAGGATGCTTCCCATCCTTCAGACTCCACCCCTCGTAAAAGTCACACTCTTCCACCTGGAGCGCAGGAGCCTGCCCATGGCCCTCAGATAGGACAGGGGCTCCCCTGACACCCTCTAAGAGAAATGACCCGCCCTCCAGGAGTCCTCGCCCCAGGCCACTGCCTGTGTGTGGCCAGTCCTCCTGGCCTGAAGCCCCGCGGCCAACTCACGTCCCAGAGGTTTGGGGTGGGCTCTTATTTCCTGGGGTCTTGGGGGGCCTTTGTCCCCGCTCCTGGCTCTCTCACCAAGGGGGCCGTACCTGCTAGAAGATGACGATGGGTCAGACACCGCGTGGACCATATCGGTGGACAGCGCGTCCAGGACACTGGTGAGGAATTCATTCTTCTTGGCGCCGGGACACCCTGGGGGGACAAAGCGGGGGGCCCTGTTTTTCGCACCCCACAGGAAGAACCACCGAGCGGGATGGACTCATCTGGGTCACAGCGGGAAGGAGGGCCCCTGACGCACAGGGGGTGCTAGGACCGCTTCTGACCAGAGAGTTCACTCGGACCCTGGGCTGAGGTGAAGCCGGTGACGGGGGTGTGACATTTACCGCACGGTGACACTCGGCGGTGTGTCTCAGGCAGGTGGGGGCCTCGCCCCAGCCCACAGATGCCACCCTGGCTCTCAGTGTGTCCCGCTTGGTCACTCTGTGTGGCTGTGAAGCTGGGAGCTAGGCCAGAGGTCTGTCAAACACCAGCACGGTCACTCCTGGTGGACAGGTCTCAGCCTGGAGATGGCTTCTGAGTATGGGCCGATGGAGACCTGTGACCCACACTCACACGCCAGCATCCAGTGCAGGGCGGGCGGACAAACCCAGGCTCTGTGTGTCCAGCCATGTTCCCAAATGACCAGGCGACCTCCTCCTCCCAGCCCAGGGCTCCTCGCTGCCCCTCTCTGCAGGGCTGAGTGACCGGCAGACGCCGGCTCTATCCTGTCTCCATAGGACATGGTACTGTAGGGCCCAGGGTCCAGGAGTGTTCCTGTGCTGACTTGAATGTGTGAAAAGCTCAACATTCAACCAGTGTCCCATCTGTGCCACCATCACCCTCTCTTGGTCCCTGGGCAAGGGGCCCTGCACTCACCTGCACCTGCCTGCTCCAGCCGTGCCCCCACCCTGGTCTCAGGATGGCTCCTTAAAGCCATCACAGACACGCAGTCATCCCCCCAGGTGAGGGTGCCCACAGGACACCTCACCCAGTCCTGGGCCACCCAGGATGGCCTGTGGTCTGTTGTGGGGACCACAGGGAAGCAGGTCACCAGGCCTTTCTTCCTCATCTGTCTTAGGCTGGAAGGCAAGCCTGTCATCATCACAGCCACACCCATACCTTCACCTGCTACCTGCTCGGGTCACCTGTCCCCTTAACGCTCCAACCACCCTGTTAGCCCCAGAGGTCCCCGGGGATAGAGGGGACGAACCGCGATGGCAGGGTTGCTCAGTGGTCCAGTGACTCTTGGTACTGGTTAGCTTCAAGAAAGGGCCCAGCGTGTCCTGTTGGATTGCTGAGGGACTCAGAGAGCACACACCATGCCACCTCTGATCTCATCAGGTCCCCGACCTGGCAAAGCAACGCCCCCAAATGAAGGAGTACCCAGAACCTTCCTGAGATGCAGGGCTATGGGCCGGACAAGCTCTGGCTCGAGCTCTCAGAGACGGCGAAGGGACTAGACTGTCTCATGTGCTGGGCCGAGCCTCCCAGGGCAGTCCTGCTGAAGACCTCCCTCCCCCTCCCCCTCTAGTCTTTTCCTCGGTGGGCCAGCCGCCCTGTAGTCCCTTGTTGATGGGAGAGGGTAGATCCATCCAGCATTTTTTAAATGTCCCCTTTTCTTTGCAAACGCAGGGACCTTCATTTTGAGGAAATATCAGGAAAAACATAACTCTGGTGCCAGATAACAGAGGTGCTGTACCCCAAGACTCCGGAATGTGCATGTGGGGGACATCTCAGGGTCACACATGGAGTTCAGGGGTCAGTGGACGCTCTGGCCTGGGGGCCCTGGCTCAGCCAATCTCCACGAGGCTGCTGGGGGCAGAAACTCATGCAGAGGGCCAGAGAGGCAACTGCCACCAAGCTGAGGCGGAAGGTTCTAAGCTCACCACCCTCGATTCAGACCCACAGTGACCTTACAGGATGGGGTAGCACTGTCCCTGTGGGTTTCTGAGATGGCGACCCTTCATGGGAGTAGAAAGCCCACCTCTCTCCCTCGTAGTGGATGGTGTGACCCTTCCTGGGAGTAGAGAGCCTGTCTTTCTCCCTCTTTGCAGAGGGTGGTTTCTAACTACTGACCTTGCAGCTAGCAGTCCAACGTGGAACCAGGTCACCTTGCTGCGGACTCTAGAACCCTCCAATTTCACAGGACCGTACGGATGGACTCATGGGACGTGGGAGGAATGTCTGTTACAACTGGTGGTGCAGTGGTTCTGTGTCTGGCAGCTCCCCGGAAGGTCAGCAGTTGGAGACCACCAGCTGCTCCCTGGGGGGCTGTCCTTGAGTACGGGGGGAGGGGGCAGACCGAAGCCTGTATTTGGCTTGTTTCGCTCCCTCCAGCTGTGTGCCGACACACTTCAGGGGTCGGCAAAGGGTGTTTGCGGTAAAACAATGCACCCGAATCTGAGCAGGTGATCTCCAGCTTCCTTCCTGCCACTGCAGCCACCATCTCGCTGTCCACGGGTGGATGCCGTGGCATGGGCGTCCGTTTCAGAGAGCGTTTCTGAAAATGTATCCTCAGGGGTGGGCAGACTCAGAGAGGTCCCAGAGGGCAGTGTAGAAGGGTCCTCATGGTTTCCCAGTCTGCAATCCACCCCACCTCCCACCCCCTGGGAGCAGACAGGCACCTCTGTGTCCCTCAGAGTGGTCCGTTGGCTAGTGGCCTAGCCCCCCACCTGAGAGGGAGGCAAGAGGGGCCGAGGGAGGAAGAGCAAAGGCGACCAGAGCCGTTGACGATGGTGTTTCCATACGATTCCACACACGGGAGGTCCCCATGGACGGAGCCTGTGGGTAGCCCCCCACTCACATTTACCAGGGGTCGCTCACCGACCTGAGGGAACAGACCCTCAGCACCTCTGCACAGGAGTGATGCGGATGTTTGGGACCCAAAGAGAAGGGCAGAAGGGAAGAAACCATGCCTTCCTAAAGGACACCTTCACTGGCCGATGTGCCACCATCCTGTGGTCACCATCGCATGCTGGGATGGGACTCGATCCTGGGGAGCCACCTGACTCCCTGCCTTGGGAGGACAATCCCCAACTCAGCCGACGCTTCCTGGGTGGGGCTCATCTCAGCCCTGCAGAGACAAACAACCAGAAACACCCGGCCCCCCCATTTTCTCTGCTGAGGGCTGGCCAGAGTGGGGCGCTCACACGGGGGCAGCTCTCACCGGAGCCCAGGCCGGGCCTCACTGAAACTGCCTGAAGCAGCCCTTTCCAGTGGCTGCGTTTTGTCCTGCCTTCTCTCTCAGGCTGCTCCCTCAGCCAAAGCCCGTGGACGCTGCTGACAGTTTGATGGATGAGAGGCAGCGGTGGCAGAGGGGAACAGAGGACCATCTGTCCTGCAAGTCACCCCCCGCACCCCCCCCCAAAGGCCTCTGGGGTAGCAGACCCAGCTGGGGGCCGCTCTGGTGCTGCTCTTTTGCAGTGGGCCAGGTTGCGTCTGGAGTTGGAAGGGAAGCCAGCTCTGCCCCAGGGCCCGCGGGTGGACCCAGCACACAGGAGGGCCTTCTCCCCGCCTCGTCCTCAGGTGGCCTCAGCCCTCGGCACATCGATAGAACGATCCAGGGGGAAATGGCACTCTGTATGCCATAGAGCTGCCTCCACCAGGAGACCTGGGCCACCTGTCCAGACGCACACACTGCCCCTGCCTCCCCCTGCCATCCAAAGTCCCCCTCCCACTCATTCCAAGATGCCAAGGGTGACGGGCAGGGCCAGACCCTCACCAGCTGGCAGCTCCTGCCCACTCTAGTAGCAGGAATACCCCGACCCGGCTATCGCAAGTTGCGCCCCGCCCCCTGTGCTGGGCACTGCGTACTCATGGTCTGTGGGTCCATGCTTACAGCATTGTGCCACTCTGCCCCTGACTGGGCCGTGGAGGAGCCTGCTCCTTCTCAGCCTCCACCGTTTCTGCCAACACACAAAAATGTGCGTGGAGCCAAGGCTAACAGTGAAGGACAGCTATTTTAATACTCCTGGCCCTGGAGAGATTAAGCAAAACATATTTGCTTAGTGTCTGACCCCATGGTGCTCATTTTTCTCAAGCCAAGGCCCTTACAGAATGGTGTTTGTGAAGGCCACGTGGCCTGACAAAGCAGGCTCTGAGCAGCGAACAGCAAGAGTCACAAGAGTCCAGTGCTCACTAGCTCTATTTATATCTGGGTTAGTCATGACCCTCCGTGGGACAGAAGTGTGGCTCCACAGGCACCCACTCGGCCCGTCCAGGTTTCCCTGTGTCCTGGGCCAGGGTCAGCGTGCGGGTCAAAGGGCCCCTATCTCGGGAAGGTCAACATGGACTCCCCACTCACAGCTGCACCAGGCCCCCCGCCCTTACAGGAGCTCAGTGACCCCTGGAGACCCTCAGCCCACCCACGCCCATGGGGAGGAGACGTGTCCCCTTGGAGGGTGGGGTTGCATGTTTGCTGGGTGACAGCGTGAGACCTCAGAGAGGAGGCTAGATTTGGGATGGGACCTGGTTGAGGAAGGTAACCTGGGATCCTAGAGGACATTCATCTGGAATCATTGAGAAAGGTAATCTGGGATCATGGAGGAAGGTAATGTGGGGTGGGACCTGACAAGCTGGTGCTTTGTAGCCTCCAAGTCTGGGGTAGCAGGTGACAGCGTTTCTGGCCAAGAAAAAAGACCCCAGATGTGAGCTGAGCCTGAGGAAAACCACCACGGGACAGCACCAGTGGGGACCAGTGACCCCCCCCCCCCCACTCGCTGTGCCTTTCTGCCACAGACCAAGTCCCCAGGAAGTCGACCAAAGAGATGAAAACCCCAAGCCAAACCCACTGCACGGAGTCAATGCCAACCCACAGCGCCCTCTACAGGGTGGCTGACTGCAGATGGGGGAGAGCAATGGTCCCTCTCTCGCTCAGACAGGCTGGTGGGTTTGGAACACTGAGCTGGCTGCTGGCCGCCCAGCGTCTGACCCTCAGCACCACCAGTGTCCTTTTACCACAAGGAGGAAGTGCTGTGGGGAGGAGTGGCACTCCTCTCTGACAGCATGGCTTCCGGTGTCGCAGGAGAGACTGTCGGTAAACACGCCATTCTGTCCAGTCCAGGAAGCCCCTGCTGCTCCCACTGCGATTTCAAACCCTTACCCTGCTCTCTGACATTGTTGATGCCAGCAGACTCAGCAAGCCAATGTGGATT